AAGCTACCTTGAGTTCGACATCCATGGCTCTATCATTATCCTATTTCTCTTCCTTCTCATTGGGTTAACTTGAAAGAGGCTTCTCTTTGATATTGTTGATATCAATATCAAAGAGATTGAGGTTGAGGTTGAGGTAAAAAAATTTGAATTGCTCTTCATCATCAGCCAAATTAAAGACATCGAGAACGTTGTCATTAGAGAAATCCATTTGGAGTGAAGGAATTCACTGGAGGCTTTAAAGTCTTCAACAACTTTTTTTTGTCAATTCTTCCTTCTCCCTTTCCCCAACCTCTAACTAGACTTTAGCTTTACTATCTTAACCTTAGCATTGTTAAACTTGAGTTTGGCCTGCTTTTTCATAAAATCAACTAAGGCTTCTCAATCAAGATGACCTCCAACTTTGTTGTCAGGTCATTATTCCTTTTCCTCTGTTTTGCCTTTTTTTTATGGGATGCACTAAAGTTAGACCTGACTTTGCCCAAAGCATCTGAACTCTTCTTATGCCAATCACTTTAGGGCAGCCACATCCTTCTTGGCTTTAAGTAGGTGAGCCATGGTAAGGTAAATGTGGTGGAAGTCCTAGCTGTTGTTGTCCAAGGGCTAAAGTGGGAGCTTTTATTAGACTACATAAGATAAGCTCAAACTTAAGTTAAAACAAAAATAAATAATAATGAGAAAGCTAAGGTGAAGTCAAGCAATGCTTACTAAATTGAGGGACTACTACCTTACAGAACCTCTTTGCCATATCAAGGTTCTATGTGGGGTCATTGAAGAGAGTATACTCTAGCCTTGTGTGAATCTTCTCTAAGTTAGGCCTTAACACCTTTACCTTAGGATTTTTCAAAGTAGAAGATAAGACCTCGACCTTTAATTTTTTGGCAAGAAGAGGTGCTGTGAAAGAAAGCTCTTGATAAGCTGTGAATTTTATCTTCTGGATGGTGAGAAAGTGCTGGATCGAAGTGCCCATTGGTCCACCCACCATAGGGTTGATAACCTTGTCCCTCCTATAAGAGCGCACCCTGAGCTTAATCTTTTTGCTCTGAGCCTTTTTGGGCTTGAAGGCATACTAAAATAGGGAGATGTTGAAATCTTTGTTAATGGACATCTTCACAAAATTGAGCTAACAATTAGATAAAAATTAGGTTAAAATAAAGTCCTATGAGGTTACCTCATACCTACTTCAATATTTTATCTCATTTATTACTTCCAGAAAGGTCAACCTATAGGTATCAATGGTGAGCTCCCCTTATAGGTGTGTTCTATTATTTTATCCTAATATGATAGATTTAGGACAAAAAGAACTACTAATGCATCCAAAAAAATACCAAGCCCATTTAGTATCTCCCATGCCTCAACCTTGGTAGTGGCCATAACCTTGATCTCATCATCTTTATTTATTTTTTGTTTTTGAAGGCAAAGAAAAAGTAGTTTCTAATTTTTTATAGAGCTCGGGCAATCGACAAATAATTTTTTATTGAGCCAAGCTGTTATGTAATTCCATCTCTTATTGTTGGAGTGTTTTTTAATGGAAAAAAATTTCTTGAATAAAAAAAGAGTGGGAAAAATATCTAAGTGTTGATAAAGAATGATAAAACCTACTATGTACTATATAGAGTTAGGAATGAGCTGAGTGATAGTTAAATTATAAGAATTAAAAATTGAAACAAATAAAGAATGAAGTAGAAACTTTAGATTGGCCATGAATGAATCCCAATACACATAAAGTCGTTATGGCTATAGTTTATCGGTGACTTAATTTGAGAAGTTCAGTATTAATATGCTATACCCCTTTTTAGGAAAAAAGAAGGTTGTCATTAGAACGTAGATGTGATGAGCTGAACACATGTTAGGATAGTCTTAAAGATTAGTCCTACCTTTTAGTTCTCTTATCACGTCCATAGGGATCATACCAAAGTCACAAGAGTATATACAAAAACCTCGACTAGCTCATCTTGCTCCATAGGATTCCTTCCTTGTCATCACCTTCCCAAACTATGATACTCTCATCCTCTTGTTCCTCTTTGAAACCCTTTTCATAGTCAGAATCTTCACTGTTAGAAGACTTTGACTCTTAAGTAAAAGTAGGATTCTGAGATTGAACAATGCTGAAAGCAACATGACCTTAGGGGAAGAAAAGTGAGGTGAAAATCCCTCAGGAAAAAAATAATCTTTATGAAAATTGATCAAAGAGAATGGAAGTGACAACATGAGTATCTATGTGTGAAGAAACAGAAGTAGAAGAAAACTTATAAGACTAGACCCTAGAAGGGGGAAAATTAAAAATAAAGAAAGGTCAACTATAGAAGATAAACTAACTTGAGACATGGGGAAATGAGGTGATTATGTAGCTTAAAATCTATTTGAGCACACAGCTTCTCTATACTCAAGACCTGTTCTCCTCTTGCTCGAGCATTGTCAAGTTTTGTTGCTACCCTTCTTTAAACATCGAGTTGAACCATAAGGCCATCTTCTGACAATCATGACCTTTAATGATTGGTAGAATCAAGTCATCGTTATCTTGCCCGAGTTGACTCACCTTAGGTTTTACTCTGAAACTCCCAACCTCTCCAGAGTTAAAACTAGATGACATAATTAAAAGTATATGCCAAAGAAAATGGAGAAAATGCACAATAAAAAGAACAACTCTAAGGTTGGAAAGCTTTTAAGGTCAAAAAATTTAGATGGGACGGAAAGTAAAAAAAGTATAAAGGTGAAAATTGAAAGCCCCAACAGTCCTTCATATAGCTACACTTTAGATTATATGAATGGTATAAACTATGACACTTGTCAGAGCGAAGATGGAGAGACGTCTTTTCGTCTTCCCTTTTAGATTTTCTTACTCAAACTATCTCTCTCCTCATTTAATGCCATTAGATCAACCAAATTGAACAAACCCCAAGTTAGACTGTCTAGATTGAATGACTCCCCAAAATAGACCAGAAGCTTGATTCATTGCCAGAGTTCAAAACAGAGACTTGAATCCAAACTCTTGGAGTAAAACACAAGTCCCACGTTGATCAAATGAACTCCCACCCTAATCTTGGATTATCTCGAACAACTGACACTTCGACGATCTTCAAGCCTACTATGCACTCAACCCAAGAAATACGCACGAGATCAGACCCCCATAAGGTCAGACCACAACTTAAGCTTAATTATCTCCCAATGTCGACCTTCATTGTGACATAGGCTGCAAAGAATAAAATTTCATGTTATCCTTTTTTACTTATCTGGCCTGCACGAAATGTGTTGACCGCACACCTAGCAATTTGATATTTAGACTACTTGGGAGTATTTAGTGGTTAAAAGGATATAGTGTTATTTTTTTTCATTAGAAGCCTTAAGCAGACAACCATGAGTAATTCTAACATTTGTACTGACTAAACATGTTAGGTCGACCTAACATATTCAGTGTCACGTTAGCTCCGCCACATCTTTATTGTCCACCAGTGATCCTCTCTCTCTTATTTATAAATATAAATGTCCAAACATCATTAAAGCAAGTTCAATTTACTTATAATTCCTTTTACTACTCTCCTTCTGACCTCATTCATTCTGATTTGCACATTGAAGTACAAACATAGAATATTCCTTATCTTTTCCTCTAACTATTCTTTTCTTCTATTTTTCCAGGAACACCCTTGGATCAGAGTTAGGCACAAACAAGTAATAAGTAAATTCTAAACTTATGCACTATTGCCACTTAATGAACATCAATTTGATTGAAGAAAAAATGTTAAATTAAACTTATAGAGAGACAACAATCAATGGAAATCTGGGGTGTTTAAGGCAGTGAAGATTTCCTCGCTCTTGCTTCAAGGACCTTCTCCACACCTTTATTGAATCTAGCAGTCTCCCAACCTTCAAAATTTCAACCAATTTTGGTGCACATAATAGCGCCTTAATTTTACCTCAGTCTTTGCACCACCACCAACTTTTACTCACTTAATCTTTCGTCAATCCTCAGCCTGGATAAATTAAAGCCTACATAATCTTTTTCAAATTAATGACAGTGCATAGCTTTCTGATATATATGCCCAAGGCAAACACGAATCTGAAGGTAATTGTAGAACAAAATAAAACACAAGATTTTAAAACAAAAACCAAATATAAACTATTGCCAACCACAAGGAAATATATTATACCAATTGATGATATTAATCACTGCAGTCAACAATAAAGAGCAATCTATTAAACTTTACTGGATGGAACTGGCTTCTTTGTCCTCACTTCGAACCGTTGCATCACATCAAAAAGAAGAGAGAAAATAGTGTTTAGAGTCTAAAAAAAATCATTGATTAATAAAAAGAAAAAAAGCAACGATAGTGTTTATTCGTTTCAATTCCTAAAAAAAAAAAAAAATTGTTTTTAAAAAATATAATAATTATTTAAAAAGTTTTACATGATATTAACATATCATATAATATTCTATTTAAATAAATAAATTTAAAATTATCTTTATTAAAAAAGATTTTAAAATATTAACTCAAGATTTGAATATATTAAATGATGAAGGGTAAGAATGATATATAAGAGGAAATAAAAAATATTTGTAAAAAATTGATTTGATGTGAATCAATTTTATTCTAAAAACGAAAGAAAATTGATGTGATCTATTTTGATAGAAAGGTATAAAAGTATAATTTTATGAGATAATATTTAATATAATATTATAATAAATTTTAATTTTATAAATAATATTAAGAGATTAATATTTTTATTTTTAAATATATTTTTAAAAAATATTTGTCAGCCTAAAAATTTTAACTGATTTAATAATTTCTCTAATTTAACAGGCAGATGCAAATTTTACGCTATTATTGTAATCACTTTCTTTTTCAACTTTATTATAATCAAATGTGGCCCTTAACTACGAGAGAAAAACAGAATCCATATATCAAGTTGAAAAAATCTCAGTCATTGAGAAAAAAAAAAATGTATTAGTAGTAACTTTCTTAGAAATCAAAACAAATCAAAATCAAATCACTGTCATCCCATGTTCCCCACGTACAAAGACCAGTCTCCTCATACCAAAATTTCTCTTTTTTCAACCCCTCACTACAAAATTGCCGTCGCCACCACCCCCAACCCTCCGCGGATCCTCAACTCTCCATCACGCCATGAAGCTCTTCTCCTCAATCCTAATCCAACGCCCATCCTACCTTCCTCCATGTTCGCCCCTGCTCGTCTCATTCTAACTATTGGGTCGTGGCTTCGCACGCGCCGCAGCCGCTGTTTTTTCCTCTTGCTCTGCTCCCCTGTTCTCCTCCCTTTACTCTGCGCCACTTTCCCTCTCCTTTGTATAGCTGAAGTCTGTGTCCGGATTTTCCGGCGGAGAAGGAGCAGAAAGGCGTCTATGGTGGCGCAAGAAGAGGAGAATCGGCTGCGGCGATGTGAAGAGGGTTGTTGTTGCGGTGAAGAAGAGAGGGAAGTTGGGCTTCTACAGAGGTATTTGGAAGATCAGCTGGCGCTTGTTGGATCTGTTTACAAATGTGGCGATGACTTTGATGTGCTTGATCATCAACATGATGATCTTGATCTTGATTGTAAAGCTCCACTTTTGAGCTGATTGTTACTTTTGTTTTTTTGTCTTCAAATTTTTAGTTTTATGTAAATTAAATAATTAATGTTAATTTTAGATTTTAGTTAAAATTTGAGATTTAACTTTTTTTTTTTGGTCAAAATTGGGATCTGAGTGTTATTTTAATTCATTATTTTGAAGTTTACCGCACTGATTTGGACTGAAATTTAAAAAAAAAAAAAATGCAAATTGCACAAGGATTTATTAGGTTATAAATTTGCAAATGAAGGAACAATTTTGTTATAAAGGTTTTTTGGTTAGTCATTTCAATTTCTAATAATAGTTATCTTGGAACGGATTAATTTTGCTTATTTTAATTTTAATTTATAAATTAAATATAAGTTATGTGTTATTTAATAGAAAATTTATTTAATATATTGAGTAATAAGTGAGATAAACATGTTTCGGTTATGTTTGATTATTTTAAAATTTTTCATGTATTTTTGTTAGTAAAATTATCTATAAACCTTCTTTTCTAATAATAATTGGTTTGGGTCGCCTTTCATTACTCATTTTAATTATTTGGCAAGCTCGTGCCACTATTAGTGAATGAAATTTAAATTTAATAAAATTACACAATTTCAAAGGTTTATAGGAACAAAGAGTGTTATTTTTTTTTTTTTCAGCTATAGGCTTATAGGGTTACTCCATTGTAATAATTTCTACTCGTTGCCCACATCCACTATCATGTTTACCAACGTTTCATCCATAATTTATTACATAATTTTAAATAAATTAATTATTTGTAGTATAATAATCATAAGTGATTTATTTTCATTGTTCCTATCTTTATTTGGTATCGTGGTACTACCTTGTTTTGCATTATCTTCATTTTACAATTGGTAATTGAATGGGTTAAAAATGAGACATGTTTGGGCCCGAGCTATTTTGTATTTTTTTTTCATTTCAAGTTTGAATATTTTGAATATTAATTATTTTGGATTTAAACAATTTCAAATTCAAATTATTTGGAGAGTGGATCGTTTTAGATTTAAATTATTTTGAACCATTTTCAAAATTACATAAACTATATTTTTTTTTTGTAAATTCAAATGCATTAATTAATTTAATAAATTTAAGACAATTGTCAAAGAAATATTATCGTTAAAATTTTAAAAATTGATAAATATTTATATGAATATATAAAAATTATATTATAGTTTTAATTTATACACCAACTATTAAATATTTTATAAGACATATTTTCAAAATTATATAAAAAAAAAAAAAGCTTAAGTAAAAGACTTAATAAAAAAAAATCATATTAAGTTATAACATAACTTAATGTGTGGTACTAAGACTCAAATAAAAGATTGTATATGTAGGTAATTGACTACTATACTAAAAAAAGTCAATTACCTTAGGCATCCAAAAAGAGCAATTGATTGTCAGCGTAAGGCAATTGACTGTTATGGCTGAAAATTAGATCAATTGATTCATAAGCCTAGAAGAATTGACTGCATCTTGTTAAAAGTATTTTAGAATTTAAGTTAGGATGTAGTAGCTAATTGCTATCAAAGAGAAGTCGATTGTTATTGAATGAATCATTCTAGAAAATGATAAAAGTCTGCTACTATATTATGTAGTCAACTACTTATGTATCGAATGCATACTTAATGTTAAAAGGAGTCAACTACTTTAAAGAAAAAATTGACTACCCTACTTTAGATAGCATTATGAAAATTGAATTTATAAAGGAGCAGTTGACGACCTTTTAGGTGGAGTCGATAACTTTGTATGAAAAATTATAAACTCTAAAAAAGTAAAATATGGTTTCTCTTGGTGAAAAGTTTGACTAGTTTAATCAAATCAATTCATCCTTATTTATTCAGAAAGACATCTTTCTAATAAAAAAATGTGATTTTTGATTAAAATAACAGAATCAAAGAATCACAATCTTAAGATTTAATCTCTACAAATAAATATTGTTTTGGGTTCATTTAACATATTCAGAAATTTTGATTTCTCTTTTTATTTTCTCCCATCCTTTTATAAATAAAAGGCTTTTTTCTTTGGCATTATTTGCTATAGAAAACCTTGTTAAAGACAAGGTATTTTTGTTTTTCATCACGTTATTTTTAGTAGTTTGATTTAACTAGTGCAAGGTGATTCAAAACGTAGACTTTATTGTATTTTGGAGGCTATTCGATTCAACCTTTTTTGTATACTATTATGGTAAGAGAGACATAAGCCTTAAGAACATGGCATTAGTGGCATGCCTTGAAACCATTTTTATTTTACGTTGAAGGTTTCATTTTAATATACTCAAAGTGTAAAAGAGAATGCTACTAAAAGATCACAAGTTCTACATCAAAATTCACATTGTTTTGTAATCTTTAAGCCTCGTAATTTTCTAACTTTCTTAAGGCTTAATAGTTTCAAAATGGACAAGTTCAATTCTATCAAGGAGATGGCTTTAACTTGCCAAATGTTGGAATGATTTGCTAAAGGCAATTTCTTAAGATGGCAACAAAAGATGCATATTATTCTCACCACATTGAAAATTACATATGTTCTCACTATTCTAAGATTGAAAGAAAAAAAAATTAAACTCATAACGAAGTCCACAAGATACCAACAAGGGAGAATGATGACTGCACATGTATGGGTTGCATTTTGAATGGTATATTAGATTTTTTATTTGATACATATATTACATGTTCATTGACAAAAGAAGTTTAAGATGAGTTGGATGATAACTATATGAAAAAAGATGCTACAAACAAGAAGTTCCTAGTTTCAAGATAAAACATGTACAAGATGATTGATTCTAAACCGATCATGGATCAATTCATTGAAATTGAGACCATCTTGAACAAATTCAATCAATAGAAGATGGATATGGATGAATCTTTCATTGTATCCTCCATAATTGACAAACTCCTACTATCGTGAAAAATTTTAAAAGAATATTGAAACATAAAAAAGAAGATATGCCTCTTGAAGAACTTGCAAGACATCTTTCCATAGAAGATCAATATTGCAAGGAAAATGAAATGGAAGCTAGTTCTTCCAAAGTCCATGTGGTAAAAGATGTCAAGGCAATTAAGTCTACAAAGAAAAAATATCTCTCTTCTAATGCCAAGAAGTTTAAGAAGAAGAAAGATTCATGTTTCCATTATGGGGAACAATGACATTTCAAGAAAGATTGTCTATCAATCAAAATAATGCAACTAAATATAACTTTGTTGCTATGATTTGTGAAATCAATGTCATTGAAGACGATATTGCATGGTGGATTGATTTTGTACCTCAAAACAAGTATGCACTAACAAGGACATGTTCAAAACTTTTCAAGAGGAAAAAGATAATGTGCTTTACAATGAGAATTCTTCAACAATCAAAATGAAAGAAAAATAGACAATTGATTTAGAATTTTCATCCAAAAAAACATTAATAAACCAATATTTAAATGCTCCAAATGTTAGGAACAATCTTATGTTTGTTAGCTTACTTAATAGGCATGGTTTTAAATTAGTAATAATAATAATAATTCTTTTGCTTACATGCTTGACTTATGACTCATGGCATTATAGATTAGGACATGTTCATTTTAATAGAATAATGCAATGCCTAAATCTTATTTGATTCCATATATTAAAAAGTAAAATGAAAAATGTATAACATACATGTTAATGAAAATAACTAGAAACCATTTCCTAAATTTGAAATAAATAGAAAAATTCTAGAATTAATACATGGTGATGATGTATGTTACTTACATGGAACTCTTTTTATAGGTGCAAAAGAATATTTTGTCACATTATAGATGATTATTCAAGATGTTGCTATGTTTACTTTATGCATTCTATAGATGAAGCAATAGATAGGTTTAATACCAATAAAATGAAGTAGAATTTCATTGTAATTCTAGAATTTTAAGAATTGATAGAGAAGGTAAATACTTTGATCCTAATTACTTTGAATCTAATCAAATGATCAAAGAGGTGACTGCACTTTATAATCCATATTCAAATGGTGTAGCAGAAAGAAAAAATAGACCATTAACCAAAAATGCATTATTGTCCTATTTCGGTTTAGGACAAGGCTTTTGGGGTTAGACATATTTAACTTCATGCTATATCCAAAATAAAGTTCTTAACTGAAGGAATAAAGTAACCTTATATGAATTATGGAAGACAAGAAAGCCTAACTTAAGTTATCTTAAGGTATGAGGCTGTAGAGCAATTGTAAGAGTTTTTAAGTCCAAAAGAAAGAAATTAGGTGAAAAAGAAATTGAATGGGTATATTAGTTGGATATGCTCAAAGTAGGAAGACATATAGGTTCATGGTAATATAATCAAATGATTTAATACCTATTAATACAGTTATTGAATCTAGAGATGCCATATTTGATGAATATAGATTCAAATTAAAAATCTAAATAAAATGACAATGTAGATAGCTAACAAGATCAAGGAAAAGAAACCTCCAAAGGAAAAAAAAAGATATCATTATACCTAGAACAAGCAAAAGAGCAAGGAAAGTTAAAACCTTTAGTTTGGACTTCTATATGTTCTTAGTTGAAGGAACAAGGGAAAATATCAATAAACACATTGAATATAGCTTTAATGTGAAATCAAATCCTAGTGCATTCGATGAGGCATTGAAGTTTCAAGATGTAGCTTTTTTGAAAGAAGTTATAGAAGATGACCTAGATTCAATAATGGGTAATAATACATGGATCTTAGTTGATCTACCTCCTAGTTGCAAAGCAATTAGTTGCAAATGGATTTTCAAAAAGAAAATGAAAGTCAATAGGACTATAGGCAAATTCAAAACTAGACTTGTTGCTAAAGGATTTACATAAAAGCATGGAATTGATTATTCGATACATATGCACTCATGGCAAGAATTGCTACTATAAGAATGCTTATAGCATTGGCTTTATATATAAACTTGAAATTCATCAAATGGATGTTAAAATAATAATCTTAAATAGTAAATTAGATGAAGAAGTATCTATGGATCAACCAAAAGGATTTGTACTGCCAAGTCAAG